ATATCACGCCCAGCCAGATGGGCGACGACAGCAGCTGGCGCCTGTGCGCAAAAGGTCGTTGGCTTCGTCATGAGAACATCTTGCGCACTGAGGGGCGAGGGGTGGCACTGGGGCTTCGGCATCGTCTACGTTCCCGGGCGCCCCAGGGAGCTCGTCACTTGTTCCTATGTGATAACATGTCCATGGTGTTGGCCCTCAGCAAGGGCCGGGGATCTACTTCAACAGTCAATCGTAGGTGTCAAGAGGTTATTGCACTCAGTTTGTTTGCCAACGTTCATTGTTGTTTCACGTGGATAGCGTCAGAGATCAACCCAGCAGAGAGCCGCGGGACCCTCGGACACATCCACGATCCGCATGGTACCTTGATGCTCACGCGGCCGCCGCCCGCCTCGACCTGGCGCTCGAGGGGGAGATTGACAACCACCTCCTCCGCCAGCCAGGCGGGGCCGAGGCGGCCGGCATCTGCGGCCTCGGGGACACCTGGCTGGACGAGCCTGCGGCGGCCGTCGGCCGGCAGGTCGAGCCAGCCGAGTCGCCTCCAGGTGGAGCTGCCGAGGCGTCGTGGAGCAGCTCTTGCCAGCCGAGTCGCCTCCAGGGGGAGCTGCCGAGGCGTCGTGGAGCAGCTCTTCCAGCAGCTCAGGCGAGGAGGGGCCGGCGGGCGACGCTGAGGCAGACGCAGAGAGAGGCGGCTCAGGAGGCGGCGGCCGCGGGGCTGGGCTACATGCAGGCATCGCGGGCGCAGCCGCAGATCGTGGCGCACTACCGGGTCATCCTGAACGAGTTCGAGAGGTGGGCCGAGGAGCAGGACCTCAAGCTGGAGACGCCAGAGGAGATGGACCAGGCCCTGTCCGCCCACATGGACTCGCTCTTCTTCGAGGGCTACAATCACGATCAAGGAGAAAAACTGATAGCAGCCGTCAAGTACTTCGACGTCCACGGGCTGTGCCAGTCGGTGGAGGCGCTGCCCCGAGCTCGCGCAGCCTTGAGAGGCTTCCGCAAGCGGGCCCCCGGGCAGTCGCGGGCGCCCCTGCCGCGGCCGGGGCTGGCGGCTCTGGTGGGCGCTGCGCTGTTCTTGGGGATGCAGGAGCTGGCGATCGCCCTGGAGGTAGCGTGGTGCGCCTACCTTCGGCTCCCCAGCGACTTGATCTCCATGACCGGCTCTTCGCTCATCCCGCCCCAGCAGTCCACAGGGGTGTCTCACTGGGCGCTGCTCCTGTACCACGAGGAGAAGCAGCCCAGGAGCAAGACCGGCCAGTGGGACGAAGGTTGCCTGTTGGACAGCGACAGGGTGGAGGCGATGGGACCGCTGCTGAAGGCGCTGGTACGTCGTGCCGGGCCAAGCCAGCCGTTGTGGTCCTTCTCAGCCGCGCAATTCCGAGTGCTGTTCCGCAAGGTGGCGCAGTTGGCTGGTCTCCCGGACTTGAATCCCTACCAGGTGCGTCACGGGGCTGCCAACGCCGACGCCCTCCACCAGAGTCGGGACATGAAGACGATCCAGGAGAGGTTGAGGCACGCTCAAGAGGCGTCGACACGACGGTACAAGAAGCACACACGGTATCTCCGCGAGCTGGACCAGCGGGCGCCCGACACGAAGCAGCACGGAGAATACGTGGACGCCAACTTCGAGGCCCTGCTCACCCAGCGCAAGGCCGTGGCCGCGCCTCCCGGGGCAAAAAGGCCGCGGCGCTGGCAGCCGGGCAGCTCTGGCGCTCAGGAGACACTCTTGGCTCTGCCCTCCAGCTGTCGGCCGCGTTGGTCAAACGCAGGCTCAGAGCCGCGTTAGACCAGGCGCTAGGCCGCCACCCTCGGAAGGCACAGACATTTTTAGACCTCTTCGCGGGGACAGGCCGCGTCGGCAAATGGCTTGAGAGGCTGAGCGGACTGCCGGCCCTCCGCCTCGATGTCAAGGCCGACCCCGCTTTCGATTTGTCATCAGACGCAGCTCTCAAAGTAATTCGAGGCTGGATCGGGAGTCGAGTCGCGCGGGCCGTGTGGCTCGCCCCCCCGTGCTCGACGTGGAGCGTCGCCAGTCGGAACACCTTCCGCACACCCCAGCATATATATGGTCGGCCCGACCTTTCCGACAAAAATGCAGTCAAAGTACAGTTCGGCAATGCAACAGCTCTCTTTTCAGCATGTGTGATTCGTGCGTGTCTGACAGCAAGTATTCCAGTAGCAATGGAGAACCCCCAGTCCAGTTTTCTCTGGCAGTGTCCTGCCCTCTTAGATCTCACGCGTCTAGCCAGTTGTAGAGAGTTCGTGACGCACATGTGCCAACACAACCGAGCCTGGAAGAAGCCCACTAAAGTCGTGGGGTGGACTGTAGGGGCTCCGCCCAAAGCATTTTGCAAACGGTGTTCTGGGGTCCAAGGGATGTGCAGTCGCACCCGCCGGCCACACGTGGCCCTCCAGGGCCGCGGACCCGGGGCCCCAGGAACCTTACAGCTCGGGCAGAAGAATATCCTGATTATTTCGCCCGAGGCGCCGCGTCTTTGCTTGTGCAGGCCTCCGTCCGAATCCAGCTCAATCATCTCGCGTCTCTGTCTTTGTGAGCAGGCTCATGCGGCTTAGCCAGAATTGATTCGGGAAGATGGGAGCGAGCGCGCTCTGTTATAAGTTCCGTTCGCAGCAAGCACCTGCGTCGTCAACCCTTGGCAGCCTGCTACCTCTCTGGAAAATCCATCTGCGTTGGCAAGCGAGAGTGTTCAGAGCAGGGTTCAGCTGTTTTTTTGGTTAATGCTCTAAGTTGTAGCGCAGCCGCCTCGATAAACCGATGTGCATCCATGGACATCGGGCTCAAGTGCACCACCTCCCTCCCCTCCTCCTGCTTTTCTTTCCTTAGTTCCTATGTGTCGCCAAAGCTGGGGAGCGAGCGCGCTCTGTTATAAGTTCCGTTCGCAGCAAGCACCTGCGTCGTCAACCCTTGGCTGCCTGCTACCTCTCTGGAAAATCCATCTGCGTTGGCAAGCGAGAGTGTTCAGAGCATATATATATATATATATATATATATATCTGTATATAGTTCTCGTTCAGGGTCGGTTAAAGAGTGGCATTTCCCAGATCGCATTTTTATTGGTAACCCAGTTTTGGAATCATCAAAGACTCTGCAAGACGGTTGTTTTTTCAACAACCGGCCAAGCATTCTTGCGGGGGGGTCTGTAAGATTAAGATGGGGCTGGTACGGCATCGCGTCGGGCATTTGCTAAGAGGAAAGTGGAGCAGCTTAAACTCTACACTGGAGATCATAGATTTGATCGTTGTAAACAGGATCTGTGGACCCCCTCTCATGGGCGTTGGGGTTGCGAGAAGAATCAGGGCGCACTTCCGCCACCCGCACGAATGATGTGGTGGCACAAGAGTTTTCCCAACTAAACACGGTTGAAGCTCGATGGCCACGTGGGATGCCCCCCGCACGATTGGACCGCTGCACCCAGGCCTCCCCAGGAGAAGGATTGGGAACTCACGGGCCTCAGTGGCCTGGAGGAGGCATGTCTGGGGCCTGGAGCTGATGGGGAACACGCGCTGATCTTCGGGGGTGCGTCTGGCGGATGGGGTATTTCAAATTACAAGTTTGGCTCGTAGGTCTTGCTATCGTATGCGTGACGGCTATCCATCCCCAGGTCGAGATACGAGCGACGGTTGCTGGTCCTCTGGTTGTAGATAGGCATGTTTCGCACGTGGCGAATTGATGGCTTTGTTGTTTGTTCTGTGGGGCTGTGCCGACTTCGTTACTTTTGTGGCCGACAGTGCGATGGCGGCGAAAGCGCGCTTCGATGGCCGCTGTAGATCGCCGACGGGAGAGGACGCAGACGCCTGGCGTATAATATGCAGCCTGATGGGAAAGTAGGTTGTCTGGCATGAGGTCGTCATTTGGACTCATTCCCATCATGCGGCCAACGACATTGTTGATGGTATAAAATTGTCGGGGCCTTGCCATTGGGAGTCTTATCGCAAGTGAATTTGCTTGATTGGCAGCTGCGTGCGCCCGTTTGCCTGATAACATTTGACACAGAGCTTTGTTGCACGAGCGTACAGCATGATTAATGCGTTTGAGATTGTTCATAGCAACCATGGGTAGCATAACAGCTAGGACTGAAGTTGACCGGCAGGCCAGACTGAGTAGGCCTGCGGTTCCTCCCCCGCCTCCCCCTCGACCCGCTGCTGCTGCCTGCGTGGCTCTCCTGTCTCCCCACCCCTTGGCAGATCGCAAGCGACGGTGTCTGAAGTGTTTGGGGTCTGCCACACTGGGTGCGGCTAGCGAGTGGATCGGCGCTCCTTGCCCCGAACTTTATAATGTTGACGGGGTCATTTTCTCACCTCTTAAGGGGGTGGAATTCACCGCGGGGGGCTGGGCACACCATGGTCGCAAACTGAATGTACACATGTCCCTGTTTCAGTCGCGAATTTGCACGGCGCGCGGGGCCATCGCAGATCAGGTTCTGTGATCCCCCAAGGCCCCGCGCATTCATAATTTTCATAAGGCGGAACGCGACTACCTTGACAGGGTCAGAACGGGGTTGCAGCCCAAAGTCCTGAGTCAGACAGAACAGGCTGCCAGGCGATTGAGGGACCGTCTAGGCCTTGCTGTTTAACGTGATCAGGATACTTGCATCCGCAACGGTGTCCACCCCGCTGCGCCCCACTCCTCCTCCTCCTCCTCCTCCTCCTCCTCCTCCTCCTCCTTTTCCTCCTCATCCTCCTTCTCCTCCCTCCTCCTGTTCCTCCACCTCCCTCCTCATATTCCTCCTCCTCCTTCTCCTCCTCCCCCCCCCCCGCTCCTTCTCCTCCTCCACCTCCCGCTCCTTCTTGGGATGTGTACTATCTCTAACCAATGTTTGGAATGTGAGCGAGCGCTTGAGGCCAGGAGCTCGGCATATAAACATGTGTTGGACTCCTTTCGCACGGGAACCTGTGTCCAGGGGGGGTCGCTTGCGTTGCGGAAGGCAGACAATGACAAAACCAAGAGTCACACGTGTCGGTTGTGTAATCCGACGGGCTCGAGCACAATGAGCATCATCAGCACCTTCGCGCACATGTCGTGTCTCTTCCTGTTGCGCGCGCGCCATGGCAGCAGCAGCGGCGAAGCCAGGAGAGGACCTGCCACCAGCACCAGGAATGTCAGACAGCCAGGCATCGGTTCCACAGCAGTTCCAAGCTAAACTCCCAGCCTGGGGACTCAAGAGAGCAGCGACCTCCCGCGGCTCCGTGGTCGGACAACAGCAGCAGGGCGACAAGAAGCTCAAGGCGACGGATCTCAAACAGCAGACGGAGCAGGTCATGAACAGCAGAAACTTGGGCCCGCTCAAGGCCTTGGCGGTGGTGCTCACGCGCGTGGCGATCTCCAGCAGCCGCGGCGTCGCCGACCTCATCGGCGCCTGCTTCAGCTGTTTTCCCAGTCAGGCCGAGCACCCCGTGGTGGAGGATATGAAGGCGGCAGGGCAGCAGTTTGCCACCACGTGCAAGGAGCTGGGCAAGGATCGCGATCTAGGGCCGCCTTGGCCACACATGTGGATGCCGCTACTGCAAGCACTGCTGCACCACGACAAGACGCCCATCAAAAGCCAGCAGGCGCTCCATATCTACTGGGAAGCCAACGAATCGGGGGACAACTGCAGCCTGCAGAACCTCCAGGCCCGGGTGCGCTATTGCCGCATCCGCCCGACGTGCTACAACAAGAAAAAAGGTCAGAAACCAACCAACTTCAAGGCGCAGATCATGTTGTCGGCCCAGCTGCTGGCGGCGCCCATCTCATTCCAAGGTCAGCCAGTGGGCGGAATCCATCAGGCGACCTGCGAGGCCCTCCATGCAGTGGGGGGGCAAATACAAGCCATGAGGACCTCCGAAAAAAAAGGGGACAGGAGGGAGAGGCGGAACGGTTTCTTGGCAATATCGGCATGCAGAAGGCAACGCACGAGGAGGTACAGGAGTCAGAAGAAGTCGACGGGATAAAACAGCTAGGCTGCCCACCATCCCGGGATCAGACAGGGTGAGACAGATGGTTGTGCGCCAGGTTCTGAATCATGAGGGTCTCGTCGCGCTTCAGTCTCGCACATCGCAGCTTATCCTCTGTTATGCCACAGATACAGGCCAGCAATTCCATCTCTTCTACTCGCCACCCCTGGTGTTTGAGCTTTCTCTCCTTGATATCGGCTCCCGCTCTCCGCGTGTCTCTCGTATGCACATGCGCGATGTCAGCATGCATGTGTTTGCCGCGTCTGACCGTGCGCGAGATGTGTTCGCGCCAGTTGTGCTTCCAACGGGAGACTGGGGTCAGGATGAAGGTACTCAACAAGAGGATGCCGACCCCCCAGCTCCCCCATGTTGGATGATGTACACACCGTTCATGCGAGATCACCCGTCTCTCGCGTGACACTTCCTGCCAGGATGATGGTGCCTAGCCTTGGCCCCCAGGTTTCCCCGAAAGAGGTCCGAGGATTTGGCCAGTTGCAGTCCGCTCGGCAAAGCGACCGACAGGAAACCTCCGTTTCACGCAGATCCGTGATAATGCATGGCCAGGCCCGCTAGCACTGTTGCGTGCATGTGCTCAGAATGGTAAGACAGGAGTCGTAAGCGTATCGTATCCTATCCTATCCTATCGTATCCTCCTCCTCCTCCTCCTCCTCCTCCTCCTCCTCCTCCTCCCTCCTCCTCCTCCTCCTCCTCCTCCCACGTCCCTTTCCTCCTCCTCCTCCTCCTCATCATCCTCCTTCCTATTTTTCCCCTCCTCCTTCCCCCCCCCGCTCCTCTCCGTCCTCCTCCCCATCCCGCTTCTCCTCTTCCCCCTCCTCCTCCTCCTCCTCCTCCTCATCATCATCATCATCATCATCATCATCACCCGTGTTCTTGGGCCAGCCGCGGGGGGGAAGCCCCCAGAGGTCCTCGCAGGGATGGCACAGCGTCCGCGCCAAGCACGGAAAGCATGAAGCAGAGTGCAACGTCTTCGTCGAGAAGGAAGAGGAGAAAGTTGCAGCATGGTTTGATCACGACCACCGTTCACAAATCCATCCCCCCCGCGGCTGGCCCGCGCACCTCGGGAAATAAAGAGGCGCAGTGACGGCTCGCAAGCGCGAGGCTGACGCCCAGGGCGCGCGCGTGGCCTTCGTGGCGGACTGGTCAAGCGCAGGATTGCGGAGCTCTTGATGCCGACCTTCACCTGTTGCCCGCAAGCGCCGCGCAAGACGCACCTTCCTCCCTTCGATCCGCGGCGCTCCTCGGAGGGCCTGCCCGCCTCCCCCCGCTCCGCGGCAGCTGAACGTCGCCCCGGCGCCTTGCCCGCCACTCGGCGCTCGGGGCGGCAGCTGTGCGGTGCTGCGCCGCTGGAGCCGCCGTGTCCACGGCGAGCTCCAACGGCCCCATCGAGACACCTGTGCCCCCCGGCTTGCAAAAACAACTTGTTCAACAGTGTTCTATCTCCGCGCCGCGCTGAGGAAATTGTTGTCGCCCTCCGCCGCTGTGTTGATCAAGTCACATGTGGTGAACGGCTCGCTGTAGAGCCCAATATCATCGAGCTCCTCCCCATTCTCGTATGTCAAGGGCTCCTGCTCCTAATTGTAGGGGCCCTCCTCGAAGGATTCCTCCACCTCGTCCCCGCAGGATGTGGGACTCCACCTCGTACGGCTTCAGGGCATCGAACTTCTCCCCCAGACCCGTGAGCAGACCGTGGCACTCCGTCCCCCTCCATTTGGTGCCGTCGACGTCCTCGAAGAAGTCCTTCTCGTCGCCCCACCCCTCCCTCGAAATCGCTTGGACGTGTGCATTTGTTTTCAGCAAGGACCATCGAGGAGCATTTTGGGCCATCTCGAAAACAAATATACGCACGAAGCCGGAACATGCACAGGGAATGGACGTCCGAGCGATGGCGAGCTACTCGTCAACATCCGGGCCGCTCTTGCGCTCGCGCATGGTCTTCGGGGCCTCGGGCCTCACGTGGCGGTGCAGCAGCAGAGCACGTTCTTCGAGACCTGTGCTGCCACTATTCGAGTAGGGGATCGCGTTGCGTAATGGGGGGCGGAGAATGGGGGGGGAAGAAGAGGAGGAGGAGGAGGAGGAGGAGGAGGAGGAGGAGGAGGAGGAGGAGGACGCGCACCTCAGGACGCCAGACAGCGTGAGCGCCACCCCGTAACGAAGGGGGCTGCGGCCCCAGAGCGCACCGTCCTCGTGGGCCAGGCCTCCGGGTCCGTCGGCTAAGCGCCCGTCTCTCCGCGTCTCTCTCTCCCTCCTCCACGTCCTCCTTTTCCCCCTCCTCCCCCTCCTCCCCCTCCTCCTCCTCCTCCTCCTCCTCCTCCTCGTCCTGCTCCTCCTCCTCCTCCTCCTCGTCCTCCTCCGCCTCCTCCTCCTCCTCCTCCTCCGCCGCCTCCGCTCCTCCTCCTCCTCCTCCTCCTCCTCTCCTCCTCCTCCTCCCCTCCTCCCGCCTTCTCTCCTGGCAGTTCCCTCGATACGATGTCGAAGGGCTGTCGAGTCTTTGCTGCATAGCACTCACGCAGGGGAATTACGCATAGGCTCTACACTGCACCTCGGCGGGCGCAGTGACGTTGACCCCCTCATGCGGATGTCATATCCTTTCCTGGCCTCCTTCTTTCTCGGTCTGGTCTAGAATGTGGGAGCCCTCTTTTTCCCCTCCCCCTCCCCGGGCGTCCTTGCGACATTCCACAAGAGAACCGGAGGCCCCGCTGCACCGGCGGCAGGAGCTCGAACAGAAAACTACCCTCCCTCCCCGGAGAGGCTTCTCACGGTCGGGCAAGCATGATCATCATCGGCGCGACTGAGCCTCGGAGCTCCGCGCAGATCCTGGATCGGCGCTGGACCTCCCCTGCCGTCGGAGGTGCATACATTTCCTACCCTGACGTCGATTGAGGAATTGGCCGTTTTCGGTTCGCGAGAGGGCGTCGCGGCCGCCATTGTTGCGGGTCCAGGTCCGTCGGTTTCGGTCCCAGGCCTTTTGCACTAAGGGGAAGCTTACTCCGCCGATGCCGGCGCCTTCCGCGCCGCCCCGTTCGCGCTCCGCGCGCCAGGGAGGTGGCTCCAGCGCAGGGCCAAGAAATCGGCGCGGATCTCCGAGAGTGCATGGTTGATGCCGTTCTTCTGCGGTGCGGTATGCAGGGGTCGCTCGAGGCCTCCGTGATGCTCCCGGGTGTCCCCGGAGGTTCAAACGTAGCCATGCGCACCCCCAACACAAGTATGTCTCTTCTCTGCTTAGCTCTTGACTGTCTTTGGACAGGTCCGTTGTGTCTTGTTGTTCCGTTTCCAGGTGCCCATCCAAGAAGGTTGGGAATTCAGGCATTGGCAACACGTGGGGGGGTCCAGAAAGGGCCTTGCCTTCGAGAGTGGAAGGGGTTGTCATCTCTTTCGCGGCGGAAGGGCGGCGGAAGGTCGGCGGAAGTAAAACTGGGCCGCCTCCGCCGGCGGAAGGCCGGCGGAAGGTGGCGGAAGTAAAGGTTGCGCCCCCAAGAGATGACAACGTTTTTGGGTTCAGGGTTTCCAAAATCGCCCATGAGGCAAAAACGGTCGAGAAACGATGCGACCACGGAAAAGAAAAACAAGCGAAAGAGGGCACTTCGGCGCTGGGGGGAGTTCTGGGGTTGAGCCAATCGTGAGTTGGAAGGGCAAGGGAGACGTGAGAGCGACGGAATGACAGGCGCAGATGGATAATCGGGCATTTGAAGAGACGGGAGCGAAACCCAAAAATGTTTCGTGTAACCCTTACAGACAAAAGCGCCCAATCGACAAGGGGGACGGACATCAAAGCCACAAACAAGGTTGGGTTCCATATTCTGTTTCAGTGAGCCTTCTTACGAAAAAACGTAGCAAACCCATTAATGTTGGGAGAGAAATACAAAGCGTAACGATCTGCATTTGACAAGCACGGTAAATAACATAACACCTGATCGCAGTCGGCCCGGATTAGTAGGTCGACCCTGCGAGATCAAGGATATCATGATGTCCTCTGCATCGCGCGTCGTGTCCTCTACAGTCACAGGGCAAGGCACCCTTGTTGGAGGCCATAACGTAACGCCGTCGGAAGAGTCTCCCCTCCTGTCGCGTGACCCGTGCAATCAGGTCTCCCTGTATACATCGGGTGAGGGCCCCTGGAGGCCGGAAAGAGACAAAAAGCAACTTCCCGCCGTGATTCTTTGACAACGCTGATGGGCTTGCTTTCCACCACCACCACCACCACCACCATAAGCTGGAGGGGGAGGGGGGTCCTCCTCCTTCTCTTCGTCCTCCTCCTTCCCCCCTCCAACTTGTGGTGGTGGTGCTGGAAAGCAGGCCCATCCAACGCGAAGGGGCCTCCAAGAGCGGGAGGGGAGGGGGGGAGGGGGGCAGCACGGCCAGCGAGGGCGGACACGATGTGTGCATCTGCGCAGGACGGAAGGAGTCGAGCCTGCCGCAGCTGTGGAGCCAGACATGCTTTCGGCGGCCTCTCCCCTCCCCCTCCTCCTTCTTTCCTCCTCCGCCTCCTCCTCCTTTTTCCTCCTCCTCCTCCTTTTTCCTCCTCCTCCTCCTCCCCCTCCTCATCCTCTTATAGATCTTTAGATCTTTAGGTTTCCTAGGTGGGCCTCTTTGGCCAAATGGTCCGGGATCCGGGTTCGCACCCCCCCCCTACGGGGGGGGCTCCAAACCCGCGGGGGGGATCAGAGCTCCGCCAGCATTGGAGGGCGAGCGAGGAGGGAAGGAAGACACCATGGGGAGGCAAGGGGAGGGAGGAGAGGGACAAGTGGAGGGGAGAGGGAGGAGTGAAGAAAGAGAAAGAGTGACGGGAAAGAGGGGAGAGTGAGGAGCGAGAGGAAGGAGGGGAGAGTGAGGAGAAAGGAAGGAGACGAGGGGAACGGGAATGGAGGAGAGGGAAGCCTCGAAGAAGAAAACCTTCATAAACACAATCTTTTGGCGCTCCGCGCGGATCTCTTGGATTCGCGCTGGGGCCCCCCCGCGGCGCGCGCCAGGGAGGGGAGTCCAGCGTCGCGCAGATCCAAGAAATCCGCGCGGAGCGCCAACAGTTTATGTCTATGCAGCTTAAGGGAGGGGAGGAGAGGGAAGCCAGGGGAAGGAGAACAACGGCGAATAGAGAGGGCGGCACCCGACCCTCCGAGGGGGAAGACTCCGTTGCGGTGGGACGTCCTCGAAGAGGGCGGCCTGCATCCGAAAGGACACTGCGAACTATCTCGACTGCGATGCCTGGGGCTTCGAAGATCTCCGCCGTAATGCTGGGCACGGAAGCCGCCGCCTGCGCAGAGAGCGTGTTGCTGCAGCGCCAGGGGAAGTCCGCGATGAAGCCCATGCCTGGGGGCTGAGGTCGTAGGCTTTCGGCAGCCCCATGAAGAAGACCAGCACTTGGACCGTGGCTCAATCCAGTGTGAAGGTAGACATGATATGAGCACTGCATCGGAGAAGTTCAGAGTGACGCGTGATGGCTCTTTCTCGGCACCGTCGCTCTCTCAGGGGGTCGGCCATTTTCTTCATGGCCATAAGTACAGCACGTTAGGTTTTGATTTCGGTCTAGTGTATATACACACGATACTCTTCTGGTAGTACCTCAAGTAGTTCTGGCGGGTGGACAAATCCAGTGTGAAGGTAGACACTAGCAGGGTGAGTCCGCGACGAGACCCGCTCCAGCGGGGCAGCTACCGTCGAAGGAGATCGGCAGCCCCGAGCAGGTGCTCGACGTTTCGAAGCTGTCCTTCGTGAGGCTGGGCTCGGAAGTCGCCGCTGGCGCGAGAACCGCGCTGCCTCCCCTCACCTGCAGAACCGCTGGGGCAGTAAGAGATCGGCATGTGTGCATTGATGCCGAAATCTCGAAACACTCCGCCGTGATGCTGGGCTCGGAGAGCGCCGCCTTCGCCAGGGACATACTGCCGCAGCTGCCGGGGTAAACCACGAAGCATTCCACGCTGGATGGGCCGCGTTAGGGTCGTAGGCGATCGGCAGTCCCATGAAAGTGCCCAACATTTTGAAGCCGTCCAGCGTGGCGGAGGAACACCGGCAGAGGTAGTCCACGAAGCAGCCCGCGTCAGAAGGGCAGCTGGCGGTTTCTAGACGACCGGCTGTCCAGAGGAGATGCCTGTCACCATGACGCTGACCCGCGCGATATAGTTTGGCAAGTAGCCTGGCAGATCGCGGCCGCGCCCTGGATTGCGCGCGTAAGGCTCGCTTGTGAGCAAGGCCGTACAGTCAACATTGACTGTGAGGATGATCGACTTCTCATCGGTACCCTTTTCCGACCTATGCAACCCGCATGCCTTTGAGTGTTCTGGGGCCACGCTGCCGTCGGAACAGTATTGTGTTCTCTTGGGTATCCTGCCCAGTCAAGTCCGACTGAATGAGGGAGGAGGAGGAAGACCCTGGCGTCGCGGTTTGCTCACAGCGTCGACGCCGGGAGGTCTCGAGCCGCTCCTTGTGCGGAGCTGCTTGTGTCGGCGCCCCTATGAGGCCCGCCGAGGGGCCCCCCTTATGAGGCCCGTCGAGCCAAGCCCGCCGTGCTTCTGCCACGACGCGGGGGGGAGCCCTGGGGGGACGAAAGGTGGGCCCTGCGGGGCCACCCTCAAAGGGAGAGGGAAGGAAACAAAAAGAGAGGAGAGGGACGCGGAGGGAGGAGGATGAGGAGGAGAGGGAGGAGGAGGAGGAGGAGGAGGAGGAGGAGGAGGAGGAGGAGGAGGAGGAGCGGGAAGCCAGGGGGAGGCAGAGAGCCGGCGCGAGGACAGGGGGCGGAGGCCCGAGCCCCCTCGACGGGGGGAAGGCCCATCGCGGGGGCGGGGGACGCCTCCGAAGAGGGCGGCCTCGGCTCGACGAGGCCCCCCTCCGGTGAGGCACGCCTAGCGCCTCCCGCCGTGCCTCTGTCACGACGCGAGAGGGGGAGGCCCTCCTCCTCCTCCTCCTCCTCCTCCTCCTCCTCCTCCTCCTCCTCCTCTTCCTCCTCCTTGTCCTCCTCCTCCTCCTTCTCCTCCTCCTCCTCCTCCCCCTCCTCCTCCTCCTCCTCCTCCTCCCCTCCTCCTCCTCCTCCTCCTCCCCCTCCTCCTCCTCCTCCTCCCTCCTCCTCCTCCTCCTCCATCCTTCTCCACCTTACTGGGGAGTGGACGGGGGGGGGCCCTGCCGGGCCACCCGCGGTCGAGAGCGCCCCTACTCGGGCGCGCGCGCGCGCGCGCCTGGGGGAGCCCGAGGAGATCGAGACCTGGAGCGCGTGCTTCGACACGGCCATCCGGTGAGCGCGCCCCGCGCGGGGCCTCTCCCGCCCTGCTGCCGTGCAGACTCGAAGGCAGGACGGCCTGGTGGCAGGGCGGCCGCCCTCTCCGCCCCTCCCCCCAGGGTCTCTCCCGTCCCCTGGCCAGCATCAGCAACAGAAGCCTCCCCCTCGTTCTCCCCCTCCTCCTCGTCCTCCTCCTAGTTCTCCTCATCCTCCTCCTCCTACTCCTCCTCCTCCTCCTCCTCCTCCTCCTCCTCATCCTCCTCATCCTCCTCCCCAGACGCTCCAACCTCCTCCTCCTCCTCCTCCTCCTCCTCCTCGTCCTCCTCCCCCTCCCCCCCTTCTCAAGCTCTCGGCTCGAGCCCTCCGTCGGTCGCGCCTTGGCTCATACCGGGCGGGCCATGGCGGCACAGAGGTGACCGCGAGCCGACCGCCGCGCACCAAGCGCCAGGGGTCGCGCCACGCCGCACCTGGCGAGTGGCCCTGGCCGGTTGCTCGAGAGGGGGAGCTCCAGAGAGGCCGCGTTAGCGCGGGATTTGATGGCCGATACAAGCGGCCCTGCAGCACAGAAGCAGCATCCATGCGAAGGTGTTCCCCGGCTGGGGGCCTTGATGAGGCAGCAGGTGCACCAGTGCCGCTAGCAAGGCCACCATGCAGTGGACAGCATCTTGCGCAAGGACGCGGATCAGGCGCTCACGAAGGTCATGCCCAGTCATGAGGCCGAGTCGAGGATCCAGGAAGAAGGCCGCTGCGTGGCAGAGCGGTTCTCCTCCCTGGCGTCCCGCCGTGGCTGCTACCGCTCAAAGGCGACCAGTTGCAGCACGCGCTTGAAGGAGGAGGAGGAGGAGGAGGAGGACACGAATCCCAAGGAGGAGCTCCCGAGATTCAGCGACGAGGACTACAGCTCCGAAGGAGCAGAGAGGGCCCTGCCGTCGCCCCCCGAGGATCCAGCGAGCTCACCGGCCCAAGCGGAGACATAACTGAAGGACCCAGACCCCCACCAGTTCCACTTGAGGCACGCGTTCCGCAGGAGCCGAACGACCACACCGAGGAGATGACCCGACGCAGCAGCAAAGCCGTGGCCAACTCGCCCGGATCCCGAGCGCAGCGGAGGCGCCACTGGGAGCGGAAGTCCAGCTCTCGCAATCGCCCCCGAAGGGATGGTCGCGAGGCCAGCGAGGCTCCGCGGCGATCGAGATCGAGGTGGAGTGGTCGCACGGTATGGCCAGAAGCCGACTCCCGTTCGCATTTCTCGCGGGGACCAGCGGCCATTCGTGATCACCCAAATGCCAGGCACAGCCTAGCCCGACACCCTGGCCATCGGCAGGTGGAGCTGGGGCACCCACCGCAGGCCAAGGCCAGCAGCCCCAGGCGAGCGGCTGGCAACCAGCCACCAGAGGGCCACAAGGCCGTCAAGAGCGCAAAAACGTCGCCGTGGTGCCACTCCAGGAGCCCAAGCAGGCCCGATCAGGCAGCAGTGGGAGAAACCCCGCTCGCCCGAGCGGGCCATGCCACGGCGCTCGAAGCCACACCCGAGTGCGCGGCCTGCAAGGACATGGCAGACGAGCACCACCAAGGCGGCGAGCAGCACAGTGAGGCCGAAAATGTACCCCAAGAAGAAGAGACATGCGGAGCAGAGTGCACTGCGAGTGCGGCACCATGATCTACCTAATCCCCCGCAGCTGCGGATCAGAGAGAGGGTGCTTGGCGGCGCTCTTAGAGGCCTCGGCGGGCTCGCTGCTAGCGGGATTGAACCGAAATCGCTACGGACACACCGCCCCTCTTTGGTGAGCTCTCCAAGCGTGCCAGCGTGACCCCCCAGCGTGGCCTCCCAGCGTGGCCTCCAAGCGAGGCCTCCCAGCGTGGCCTCCCGGCGTGGCACCCCACCGTGGCCTCCCAGCGTGGCCCCCCAGTGTGGCCTCCCAGCGTGGCCTCCCAGCGTGGCCTCCTAGCGAGGCCGCCGGAGAGACGACCTCAAGACGGAGAAACGCGAGCAGGGACGGAGTCAGACCGCTCGGGCACCCTCCTCTCTGACCAGGACCGCCTCAAAAAAGATGGACTTCACGGACAGGCGTGGCAGACGGCCGTCGACGACGCCTCCAGCGGCACTTCTTGCACAGCGCGCCCGGGGTGCCCACGCCTCGACTTCGACATCAGGGTGAAGCGCACTGTCATTCATGAGGGGGGAACACACACAGACACAACGAATCGCCGATCCCGAGGAAAATCGGGGAACATGTGGGAAGTGGTGGGGACGACGAAGACCCAGACAATATGTGAAGATATGGGGAATCCTGGGATTTGTGTGTATTTACTTGTGTGTCCCTGGGCCCCTTCATTCATGGACGGTTTCGTGGACAAGAGCGGTGCTGTAACACTGCTCCCGTGAGCTGCTACGCGGACTATCTCGCGGCACCAACGAGCTGCACGGTTTCCCCCGGGGCCGTAGGCGACCCGAGGAGGAGGAGGAGGAGGAGGAGGAGGAGGAGGAGGAGGAGGAGGAGGAGGAGGAGGAGGAGGAGGAGGAGGAGGAGGAGGAGGAGGAGGAGGAAGAGGGGGGGGGGAGGGGGAGGGGGAGATGGAGGGGGAGGAGGAGATGGAGGTGGAGGTGGAGGTGGAGGAGGAGGAGGAGGAGGAGGAGGAAGGAGGGAGCAGGAGGAGGAGGAGGAGGAGGAGGAGGAGGAGGATGGGTCGCCGAAGCCCTTCGGAGAAACCCTCCGCGCCTTGCCGAGGAGGTGGGTGCAGTTCCCCAGCCCTGCTGCGCCAGAACGGCTAGACCAGCCAGACCAACGAGAAGAGGTGGGCCCTGCTGAGCCTACCACCAAGTCGGGCACGTCCCTCTGCAGGAGGAACATGCGAACATGGTTGAACAAAAAAGTCTAGGGACGATGTTTGTTGGTATGTTTGTGCACGTCCTGCATACATTTCGGGCATGTATTATTTTTTCGCCACTGTCCGCCTGTCGGAGGACACGCCCGACCTAAGCCTACCATTGCGAGTGATTCGGTGCCATGCGCTGTGGTCTTGCTATCTGGCCGCGATGCGCCAGACAAGCCCGACCAACAAAGCTGAGCAGAAAAGGTGGGCCCTGCGGAACCCACCGCAGCACTAGAGTTAAGTCGGGCCTGTCCCTCTACAGGGGGAATGAATTACAAACTGTTTCAAAACAGTCCGTAGCCATTTTGGCTCAAGTTCGAAACGCTGCCCCGGCGCCTCGAGTTTGGACGCTGCCAAGAGGTTGACCCGAGCGTCCCGAGGTTAGGCCTCGCAATCTTTTCCAGTCGTGCGCCAAAACACGCGGTGTTCAAGTGTAAGAACAATGTCTCGGATCACCCCAGTCTCCCCATCAGCCGTGATGTCGGGCTCTGTCGAGGTGCTGGCTGCGACTGGCTCGATGAAGTCCGAGTTGACCACGGCGATTGGAGCCGCGTTGGACGGACGCGTTGGAGGTACGCGTTGGAGGTACAGTTGGAGGGCCTGCAGGCCCAACAAGTGACAGGCTCGTCGATCATGGTCAGTCAGCACCTTATCGGCCATTTGGGAAGAGCGTTTCCAACAGGTGACGGGCTCGTCGATCATGGTCGACGATGGCGGTGGCTGGCATGACTGTAAAGAAGGCACGCCATCACCATCGGCTGCGATGAAGGAAAAGACGGCGGCTAAGTTTCAGAGTGTGCAGGTGCAGCTTGCGGCGATTCCACGTACGCCGCCGACCGCTGCTAGTACGGGCAGAAACAGCTCCCGCAAGCGCCCAGCGGTTTACCAGCCGCCTGAGATGTACACGGACTCGTTGCAGCACACTGAGAAGGACCAGCACAATCCTTGCCGAATATGGATTGGTGGCTGGCCTCGGGAGGTACTCTCGCAGTACCGCAAGGAGCGCTGGGAGTGGTACAAGACGCAGGTGCCGCAGGATATGGTAGCAGATGTAGAACCCTCGTTCCAAGGTACGAGCCGTTCGTAGCCAGTCATTGTCATATCTGAGGAGGCGGCGACTCGTTTTTTTTTTTTTTTTTATCAGTGGGCATTCACAACAACTTCGATGTGGAATGACTATCGTGATCGTGCCAAGAAGTTTCCGATTCGAGTTCGGGGTGACATTCTTCTGCCCGCGCGCATGTGGAAGCACCCACTTTCTTGTCTGTGGGGGCCGACGAAGGTAAAGCTCACGAGCAAAGGCCTCTGGGACGGTTCGCTTCGCATGGGTTGTTCTGGATATGGCTGTGGCCGTTTTCAAGTTTCAACCGACGCGGACTCTTGGACCCTTATTCACGCTGGAGACGGAGGATGGTCAGTTCGTGATTGTACCGAGCTGGGAGGAGCTATATCAGTGGAAGTTCAGTGATGCGGGGATCAATTTCATCATCGACATTGCTCTGAAGAGTAAGCCGTACCTCTAGGATGGGGTGCGGCGGATTCCAAGCGGCAAGCCTTTCAGAGGCGCAGTGCCAGCTGAATTTCGGGAGCGGCACCTGTGATGATGCGGGCGGTTCAGCTGCGCATGCTGAGCCAGCAGCGCCGCCGCCTTTTTCTGACCTGTTGCCGTCGGTCTCTGCTCCATCAATTGATACAGCACCGCGCGAGCTGGCGGGTCGTGAGCTTGTTTTTCATTGTTGTTCTTGGAATGCTGATGGTATGGCCATGTCCATGCACTCTCTGCGTCAGGATCGTGCTCAGAAGAAGATGCGCATGCTCAGGCGTCTTTGCTTATCCTAGGATACTGTTGCGAGCCAGGAAACCCACGGTCACCCATGTGATAGGGGCCATCTTGTAAAACAACTCCCTTCTCATCTCTTTGGCTGCACGCTCGTCCCTGGTAGTGCTCTGGCACTGGTGGCCTGATTACCGCAGTCAGCAAGAAGTTCGCGCGCAACTTCCCAAAGATTGGACATCGGCCACTGGTGGATGGCCGCGTGCTCTTGACTGAGATGACGGGTCCTCATGGCCAGTGCAATATTGTCAATGTCCACATGCCTAACACGCCGGATAACATCAACCTTTTCAAGACAGTGCTTCGCGTTCCCCGCCGTGAGGTCCCGATGCCTGCTGAACATGTCACTGCCCTTCTTGGCGATTGGAATTTTACTCTGGAGGGTGAGGGGCGTCAAAAAGCACATGGTGGGCTGCGGAGTCCAGGGGGCCGT